TCCCATCAGAGCTAACAAGTGTGCAAACAAAAGTTGCTCTCTTTGCAGGTCCCACTAGAATTGGTAACTGTGCAGACTTTAGTCTCGCTATGCAGTCATTCCCATTTTATCTCTTCTGGTCACTCCACAGTACAGTCAGATGTGCTCATTCCCATGGTTACTAATTTTCATTTATAAACAGTCAGACTGTGCATGTGTCTGTCATGTAGAAGACTGAACCTGCATTCACAATAGTCATCTCTTCTGCAGTGTCCTACCAGTACTAACCTGACTACACACAACATGGTTACTAATTTTCAGTGTATATTTGGTTAACCTGACCACACACACAGTCAGACTGTGCAGTGTAAAGATATGAAAGAAGACGAACTGAGAATCACACAACAGTCAGGCTGTGCAGTCACCCACACAGACTAACCTGACTAGTGATAACAGTCAGGCTGTGCAGTGTCCCACCCGACTAACCTTACATGACAAACTGTGCAGTGTCACACAGACTAACCTGACAAACAAAAGTCATACTGTGCAGTGTCTCACAAGACTAACCTGACCAGAGAACAGTCAGGCTGTGCTGTGTCTCACCAAATTGAATATCTGACAGTTCAGGCTGTGTGTCCCACTGACTAACCTGACCACACAACAGTCAGGCTGTGCAGTGTCCCACTAGACTAACCTGATCCACACAACAGTCAGGCTGTGCAGTGTCCCACCAGACTAACCTGACAATTTTCAACATGTCAACTGTGCAGTGTCTGATAGTACAGGTGAGTGAACACAACAGCATGGTGTCTTTAGGGGTCACTGGCCAGACTAACCTGACCACACAACAGTCAGGGCTGTGCAGTGTCCCACTAGACTAACCTGACCACACAAACAGCCAGGCTGTACAGTGTCCCCACCAGACTAACCTGACCACACAACAGTCAGGCTGTGCAGTGTCCCACCAGACTAACCTGACCACACAACAGTCAGGCTGTGCAGTGTCCCACACCAGACTAACCTGACCACACTGAAAACAGTCAGACTGTTGCAGTGTCCCACCAGACTAACCTGACCACACAACAGTCAGGCTGTGCAGTGTCCCACCAGACTAACCTGACCACACAACAGTCAGGCTGTGCAGTGTCCCACCAGACTAACCTGACCACACAACAGTCAGGCTGTGCAGTGTCCCACCAGACTAACCTGACCACCCAACAGTCAGGCTGCAGTGTCCCACCAGACTAACCTGACCACCCAACAGTCAGACTGTGCAGTGTCCCACTAGACTAACCTGACCACCAACAACAGTCAGGACTGTGCAGTGTCCCACCAGACTAACCTGACCACACCAACAGTCAGACTGTGCAGTGTGCCCCACTAGACTAACCTGACCACCACAACAGTCAGGCTGTGCAGTGTCCCACCAGACTAACCTGACCACCAACAGTCAGGCTGTGCAGTGTCCCACTAGACTAACCTGACCACCCAACAGTCAGGCTGTGCAGTGTCCCACCTAGGACTAACCTGACCACACCCAAACAGTCAGACTGTGCAGTGTCCCACCAGACTAACCTGACCACACAACAGTCAGGACTGTGCAGTGTCCCACTAGACTAACCTGACCACCCAACAGTCAGGATGTGCAGTGTCACACTAGACTAACCTGACCACACAACAGTCAGACTGTGCAGTGTCCCACTAGACTAACCTGACCACACAACAGTCAGACTGTGCAGTGTCCCACTAGACTAACCTGACCACACAACAGTCAGACTGTGCAGTGTCCCACTAGACTAACCTGACCACACAACAGTCAGACTGTGCAGTGTCCCACTAGACTAACCTGACCACACAACAGTCAGACTGTGCAGTGTCCCACTAGACTAACCTGACCACCCAACAGTCAGACTGTGCAGTGTCCCACTAGACTAACCTGACCACACAACAGTCAGGCTGTGCAGTGTCCCACTAGACTAACCTGACCACACAACAGTCAGACTGTGCAGTGTCCCACTAGACTAACCTGACCACACAACAGTCAGGCTGTGCAGTGTCCCACTAGACTAACCCTACCACACAACAGTCAGACTGTGCAGTGTCCCACCAGACTAACCTGACCACATAACAGTCAGACTGTGCAGTGTCCCACCAGACTGCGGCAACCTGACCTGACACAACAGTCAGACTGTGCAGTGTCCCACCAGACTAACCTGACCACACATCAGTCAGGATGTGCAGTGTCCCACCAGACTAACCTGACCACACAACAGTCAGACTGTGCAGTGTCCCACTAGACTAACCTGACCACACAACAGTCAGACTGTGCAGTGTCCCACTAGACTAACCTGACCACACAACAGTCAGGCTGTGCAGTGTCCCACCAGACTCACCTGACCACACAACAGTCAGGCTGTGCAGTGTCCCACCAGACTCACCTGACCACACAACAGTCAGGCCGTGCGGTGTCCCACCAGACTAACCTGACCACACAACAGTCAGGCTGTGCGGTGTCCCACCAAACTAACCTGACCACACAACAGTCAGGCTGTGCAGTGTCCCACCAGACTAACCTGACCACACAACAGTCAGGCTGTGCAGTGTCCCACCAGACTCACCGGACCACACAACAGTCAGGCTGTGCAGTGTCCCACCAGACTAACCTGACCACACAACAGTCAGGCTGTGCAGTGTCCCACCAGACTCACCGGACCACACAACAGTCAGGTTGTGCAATGTCCCACCAGACTCACCTCACCACACAACAGTCAGGCTGTGCAGTGTCCCACCAGACTCACCGGACCACACAACAGTCAGGCTGTGCAGTGTCCCACCAGACTAACCTGACCACACAACAGTCAGGCTGTGCAGTGTCCCACCAGATTAACCTGACCACACAACAGTCAGGCTCTGCAGTGTCCCACCAGACTCACCGGACCACACAACAGTCAGGCTGTGCAGTGTCCCACCAGACTCACCTCACCACACAACAGTCAGGCTGTGCAGTGTCCCACCAGACTAACCTGACCACACAACAGTCAGGCTGTGCAGTGTCCCACCAGACTAACCTGACCACACAACAGTCAGGCTGTGCAGTGTCCCACCAGATTAACCTGAGCATCCTGAAAAAGTTGGGTTTGTCAGTTGTATTCTGATAACTCCCTGTGTGGGTTCTGGAGGTACTGTTGGGGAAAATAAAGAATATACACCCCCCACCCCTTTTCTTTTTTTCCCCTAACACGCATGTCGTAAAAGTAGACTAACGTGGGAGCTTGAGTTCGAGGGCACCTGCTTTGAGAGGTGAAGAACCAGCAGTCTGCATACAAAGAAGCCAAATATGTAAAGTGAATGTTTACAAAACTTAAGTTCTGGAACAAGACTAAAATCCAGAAGTGGAATAACAACTAGGGCTGTACCGAATAGTGATTTTCACTATTCCGCCGAATACGAATAGCTGGACCAACTATTCGGCCGAATACGAATAGTGAATCATCATCATCAAGTGCTTTGCCGGCTGGCATGGGCGATTATGCCTTGCCACAATCTGCGATCTCCTGCACCACGTATTAGTTCGTGTGCTGACACACCTCCATGAAAAACCTTTGTTCCATGTTGTCAGCATTAGGCCAGCTTTTTGTCTCACTGAAGGTATTTCCAGCTGTACTAAACAGGAAAATATGACAAATACAGAGAGCCAAAATGAAAACCCGCAAGGCGAAACATCAAAAACAAAAATAAAGCCGACGAAAAATACAATGCTGTCCTTACAAGTCGCCAAGCCCCCCGCGAGCTCACGAAACCAGACGCCGGGCAACCAACGCCAGAAGATCAAACAACAAAGACAATCAAGAAACCGAACGTTCGATCAAAAACATTCAGCCGCTGGCCGTTTCCACGAAGACGTACGAAAGAACAGTATACGACACCCATAAATGATAACGAACTCCCGTTACTTCAAAGACATCAACGAAGAGGACACTCCACTCAAAGAAATCAAGCCGACAACACTAGAACACTTGCTTTTCTGCCCTCTTACATTTTTAAGTGTTGCATTTTGTTTCTACAGCAAACACACCTAAAACACCTATACTCGCAAACATGCAAGATGGGAAATAAGGGGCACTTGTTACGCTCGTAGGTGGTGCACAAAGATAACGCTTCACAGTATAAACCAAGGTGGAAAGTCTTGATGTTTTTTTCCCACCAGTCCAGAAACGGTTGTGAGGTAACCACTATTCGTATTCGGCCCGACCGCAACTATTCGAATACCGAATAGTTATTGGGTCCACTATTCGGCCCTGAAGCGAATATTCGGTACAGCCCTAATAACAACCAGAACTTTCCCCTGCAGATTACAGCTGGTGAATGCCAGGAAAAAGAATTCTGGTAATATACCTGGAGCGAAAGAGCAAAATATGCCTGGCAGTAACTTGTGCAATAGATTGTTTGTATCCGCATGGTTTAACTATTGAGCCATAATCCAGTTATGGTTGAGTTCGGCACACATGGACTGGCTGAAGTCTCTTGGTTGACTTCCACAGGTTATAGCCAGGTTATCATCAGGATCCCCGCTTGGGTTCCTAGGGTTCCAACTGGGGTGGGGGGGGGGGGGGATAATACAGCCACTGCCCCCTAAGAAGCATGTCATGAAAATTGATTAATTCGGAGAATTTCCTTCACATTCAGAGTGCATCTACCAAAGAGGCGAGGAACCAACAGTTGTCATACAAGAAAACCAAGTGTGTATAGCCAGTGGGCACACTAAATTCTGTTCTGGAATAAGGCCAAAGTCCAGAAGTGGATGAAAACCAGAACTTTCTACCAAAGTTTACAGCCGGTGAACACTAAGAAAAAGAAGAAGACAGCCAATGAATGCAAATAAGAAGAAAAAGAAGAATTATCAGTAGATTTCAGCCTGCCTAGAGAGGAAAACTACACAAAACATATTTAAGGCATGTCCAGTATGTTAATTTTATATGCTGTGAATGTGAGAAGTTAACTGTGTTTGTATTGTCTGGCAGGAGCATGATGAGCCAATACTGGTACATTTACAAGACATTAAAGCTGTAGTCCACAGTAAGGACACTCCGGTAAGTACCCTGTCATCACTGACTGACATCCAACACTTGGGACATTCCCATATGTGCCCCAACCCAATCTTCAGCAGCCAGAAAATGGGTTAATGAATTTTTTTTAGTTTACTATTCATTGTTTTAGTTCTCCGTGGCTTTAGTAGCGTAGGAGTTCTGTTACTAACAAACACCAGCTCCTCCTTCCCCTTTTCCTGCCAACCTCCACCTCTAAGAACGCCATTTTAGGGATAGCAAGGGACATCAGATGAAAAGAGGAAGCTCTTGGGTGGCACAAGCAGAAGTTTTTAAGAAACGTTTGTAGTACTGAAAAAATAGCGCACGGTAAGCAATGGATCACAGAGGGTGGTCCAGCCTTGCATAGAGTGATAGTTAGTCTGGACCGAGGCTGCTGGGAATGGATAACTGGGGTACAGCGGTGCAAGAGCTGGTCAATGAAAATTCACTCCAGTTGACATCATTATAGGCTGAGTGGTCTGTAGTGAGTGGTAAGAAGTGTTGATGGGGTTTTATGGCACAGGGGAATGGTCACTGTTTGAAAACTGAGAGCCTTGTGTAAAACGTTACAAAATCAAGAGGAGGAGGACCTAGTACAGCAGAGTTCCGGCAGCTTGAAGGCAGCATCGCTGGACATGTTGTAATTATAGTGAACTTACAGAGTAGGCTCCAGAGATTTAAAACTGGCCTCTCGGTGTAGAGTGGCTTGCATCATCATCATCATGTGCCCTGCCAACTGGCATAGGCGCTCATGCGTCTCCACAGATCACGATCCCTGGTTGCCTGTAAAACAGCTTTTTTGATGATATCCCTGCTTGCCATCATTTCAGCCCATCCAACATCATCTTTTAGTCTGCCTCTACCCCTCTTTCCACTGATCTTTCCAGTTGTAACGATGTTCTCCAATGTCTTTCTCTTCTCATCAGTGGCTTGCATCACTTAATAAAGACTCAGATCAGGAGCATATCATGGATTTTGTGTCCAGGATGTTAGGGTGTGCGGGGTAATGAGCAGGCGGATAGATTTGCTGCTGCCGCTTCTCTGGGTGGAGAGCTACCTTATGATTAAATGGATGTGGGGAAGGCTGTCTGTGATCACATGGATAGTGCAGTAGAACATGCAGAGAATCCACACACTGAAGACTTACTCAGCAGGGGTGAGTAGAGGGTCTGGCAGATTCGACACTGAGGGGGCAACATCGACGGACTTTTAATCATGTTGCAGCTGGTACTTTTAGCATTTCGACTCTTTTGTTGGCTGCTGAGGAAGGAGATGGTGCATGTATGGGAATGTCTCAAGTGCAGTGATGTCAATTCTTGATTCATTCAGTTTTTTAGTGCGAAATCACTGAGAGAGATTGGATTAATGTTTTCCTGATTTATTTTAATCTGTCGTTACCCTGGAAAACATTGGATGTGAAATAATATGAGTCTAAGGAAAGGGGCTTGTGAGAGCAGTATCTGAGAAACCTGCTACATGATGATAGTGTGACTGTCCTCATGGGGCCCTTATAGAGCCCTGACTCACCAACACAGCAATCCCGGTTCAGTCTCCAAGTTGCATAAAGCCCCCCCCCCCCCCCCCCCCCCCCCCCATCTGCTTTCAGTTTTTCCTTCCAGTAGAGTTTTATAAGAATGTCCTGTCTTTAAATATAGATAAAATCTGCTGCTTCTTTTAATGTAGCCAAAAATCTGTCACTCCTCTGTTTTTATTTTGTTTAATTCATCAGTTCTGTTTTGGTTTCGTCTTTCTGAAATGTCTATGTTGAACTGTTTTTGTTTTCCTGCACTGATGATAGTAGGAAAAGGAGGAAATAATAGATAGAAAATTGGGGGAGGCAAAGGCAGTTGTTTTGTTTCTATCATCATTTAGATTTCATCTGTCAAATTCGTCCTTAACCCTACGAGACCTGAGGCCCTGAACTTAACTGTCCCTTGTACCTGAGCTCCTGGGCATTAACCTGAAAAACCCAACATGATATACAAAAATATTAGTTACTTGCAAACAAGTGGTTAGAATAAGATGAAACTTAGAGACATTGTAGAAAATAGGTTTATCTTTTATCTAGCACCAAAATTTCACCTTTGTGTTGTGCCAATCCACCCATCAGGATGAGCCTTGTTTCACAAAGTGAGCCCCAGATGTTGCTGTTTTAGGGACACACCCCCTTCTCTTACTTTCAGTCTAGTTCTAGACCCATAATGTTCACGATTCTCCTCGTCACTCGAGCTCCCACTGTCTGTATCACTTGAACATATTCTTGATGAAATTCTGACTCCTCAGAAACTCAATCAACCAAAGTATCAATTACCTGTTGGGCTGTGAAAAGCCTACTTATTTCACTTTCCTGTCAAAGTGCTTGGTTCATTAGCGGCTCGTTTCATTGTGATTTTCAAAAAATTTTCACGGTAAACCACACAAAGTAAATACACGTGAGGGAAGCCATTTGTAATGACTAACCACGAGGTTTGACGACAATTTGTTGGTTATTTTTAGTTTGTGACGCATTTTATCACATAGTACGCAAAGTACCGAAAATTAGGTACAGCGGTTTAGTGGCAGATTACCGCTTACCAGGAAATTACTGGAAAAGCGGTACAGTAGTCTGGTAGAGGTAAGTTGACCCTAGAGTTTCTTTATGTTAACTGAATCTGCCTTCCTGGCAAAGCAGAGCCAGACAGAGCAGCAGTTGCTTCAAGAGGCTTGATACTCAGTTAAAAGAGGCAGGGACACTGTAAAAATGCACTACTTTACTGTAAAAAAGTACAGTGCAGTCGTATCTTTGTGTGAAAGAAAACAATTTTTTTTTTTTTGGGCGCAGTCACACTGAACTGAACAGAACACTTAAAATCCTTTTTTTGTTGTTGCAGGGTTTCACATTAGAGTTTCATTTTGAGCCAAATGAGTATTTCACAAATACTGTATTAACGAAGCGCTATGAGATGCGTTATGAGCCGACCCACTGGACCCTCTCACGTACGAGGGGCCGGAGATTGTAAGATGTGTGGGGTAGGTATCTCTTGGTATTAGTGCATATTTTGAGATGTGTGGGCTGTCTCTCATCTAATTCTCTTATGTGTGGGGTAGGTATCTCTTGGTAATAGTACATATTGTGAGATGTGTGGGCTTTCTCTTATCTAATTTAATGTGTGGTGTATGTTTCTCATGTAATTCTATATGTGGGGAATGTTTCTCATGTAATTCTGTATGTGTGGGGTGTTTCTCTCATGAAACTAACTGTATGTGTGGGGTATGCGTCTTGTGTAATTCTTTATGTGTGAGTGTATCTCTCATGTAATTCTGTATGATGTGTGGAGTGTTTGTGTCATTTAATTCTGTATTTGTGGGGGTGTCTTTCTCATTTAGCACTCACTGACCATTGGAAGATCTAAGGTTTTTTTTGTGGAAAAAATTTATTGTAAAAAGTTTTACTCTCCACAGACAAAGATCTTTCTACCTTCCCCTGTCTCTCTTACCTAGCATTTCTCCCCCACATAAGGCTAATTTCTCGAATTAGCCTCCTTCTGATGTAAGCCTCTTTAACTTTTATCAGTTTGTCCCTTATGCTTTTGATAGCGATCTTGTAATGTCTGCAGCTGTTAGTACCTCAGTACAGTGCAGACCTGATAAGAACTCTCAGGGGACCCAAAAATAGTTCATATTATCAGAAATTCCTCTTAATCCAGATAAGAGTTCAAGTGTATGGTAATGCATTTACAATGTACAATACAGTGTTGAATTAGTGTTGAATATGACAGTTGTATGAAACAAAAAATGTGTAAATTACCAAAAGTGTTAATGTACAAAGTTGGCACAAATATCCAGAGAATAACAGCGCTTTTGACACTTTGAGGAGGTCGCCGTGGGATAGTGGCTAGATGCTTACCTGCGGATTGGAAGGTCGTTAGTTGGGTCCTGATGGAGCCAGAATTTTGTCAAAAATGACCTTGGCTCCGAGCTTGACCCAACCTTCAGTGAGCACCAGATGCAGTCCTTGGAAGTAAAGGTGGCTGGTGTTATGCTGACCATATCACCCACCAAGTGCCGATTTATCTATAAAATATATGTGTATCTCTATATGCCCCCTCCCCCCCCCCCCCCCCCCCCCCCCCCCCCAAGTGGGGTCCAGTAATCTATGTGGCAAAACATTCTTTTGAACAAGCATTTCACTGCTGCTTCCACTTTTTACTCTTCTTGTTATTTGCATTATTCAGCCAAACCCATCCACGCTGGACAACAGTTTACTTGCTAACCATTTTGTGCTGCCCTAACTGCAATCTTGAAAGGGAACAAACCATTTCTCTAGTGCACTAAAGTCAACATATACACATTTTGTCAGTAATCAGACTTGTCTTTCAGCCTGCTCTGTGCCTCAATTGATTTCCTTCTCCTCTCTTCACACAAAACCTAACAGATGCACCATCAACTGGAACAAGGGGAAGAACGTCACCGTTAAACAGATCAAGAAGAAACAGAAGCACAAAGGTCGAGGTGTCACAAGGACAGTAACCAAGCAAGTTCAAGCCGACTCTTTCTTCAACTTCTTCAATCCTCCCACAGGTAAACTAGGGTCTGTTGTTTATGAAGTGTCACAGATTTTGAATGTCTAGGCTTTATAGTCAACCACCATGGAAACTGTTGAACAGAAGTTAAAAGATGAATGGCCATAGCTATGTAAAGACTGAACAGCACTAAAAATATGTGGCTAAGCACCAGTGAGCAAATAAAAAGTACAATTTTGAGATTGTGCATCTTTCCTGCAGCAACATAAGGATGTGAGTTGTGCATCTTTCCTGTAGCAACATAAGAATGTGAGTTGTGCATCTTTCCTGTAGCAACATAAGGATGTGAGTTGTACATCTTGCCTGCAGCTACATAAGGATGTGAGTTGTGCATCTTTCCTGTAGCAACATAAGGATGTGAGTTGTGCATCTTGCCTGCAGCTACATAAGGATGTGAGTTGTGCATCTTTCCTGCAGCAACATAAGAATGTGAGTTGTGCATCTTTCCTGCAGCAACATAAGGATGTGAGTTGTGCATCTTTCCTGCAGCAACATAAGGATGTGAGTTGTGCATCTTTCCTGCGCAACATCAGGATGTGAGAGTTGTGCATCTTCCTGTTAGCAACATCAGGATGTGAGATTGTGCATCTTTCCTGTAGCAACATAAGGATGTGAGTTGTGCATCTTTCCTGCAGCAACATAAGGATGTGAGTTGTGCATCTTTCCTGCAGCTACATAAGAATGTGAGTTGTGCATCTTTCCTGTAGCAACATAAGGATGTGAGTTGTGCATCTTTCCTGCAGCAACATAAGGATGTGAGTTGTGCATCTTTCCTGTAGCAACATAAGGATGTGAGTTGTGCATCTTTCCTGCAGCAACATAAGGGTGTGAGTTGTGCATCTTGCCTGCAGCTACATAAGAATGGGAGTTGTGCATCTTTCCTGTAGCAACATAAGAATGTGAGTTGTCCATCTTTCCTGTAGCAGCATAAGAATGTGAGTTGTGCATCTTTCCTGTAGCAACATCAGGATGTGAGTTGTGCATCTTTTCTGTAGCAACATAAGCAGCATAAGGATGTGAGTTGTGCATCTTTCCTGCAGCAACATAAGGATGTGAGTTGTGCATTTTCCTGCAGCAACATAAGGATGTGAGTTGTGCATCTTTCCTGCAGCAACATAAGGATGTGAGTTGTGCATCTTTCCTGCAGCAACATAAGGATGTGAGTTGTGCATCTTTCCTGCAGCAACATAAGGATGTGAGTTGTGCATCTTTCCTGCAGCAACATAAGGATGTGAGATTGTGCATCTTTCCTGCAGCAACATAAGGATGTGAGATTGTGCATCTTTCCTGCAGCAAACATCAGGATGTGAGTTGTCCATCTTTCCTGCAGCAACATCAGGATGTGAGTTGTGCATCTTTCCTGCAGCAACATCAGGATGTGAGTTGTGCATCTTTCCTGCAGCAACATCAGGATGTGAGTTGTGCATCTTTCCTGCAGCAACATCAGGATGTGAGTTGTGCATCTTTCCTGCAGCAACATCAGGATGTGAGTTGTGCATCTTTCCTGTAGCAACATAAGGATGTGAGTTGTGCATCTTTACTGCAGCAACATAAGGATGTGAGTTGTGCATCTTTACTGCAGCAACATAAGGATGTGAGTTGTGCATCTTTCCTGCAGCAACATCAGGATGTGAGATTGTGCATCTTTCCTGTAGCAACACAAGGATGTGAGATTGTGCATCTTTCCTGCATCAACATTAGGATGTGAGTTGTCCATCTTTCCTGCAGCAACATCAGGATGTGAGTTGTCCATCTTTCCTGCAGCAACATCAGGATGTGAGTTGTGCATCTTTCCTGCAGCAACATCAGGATGTGAGTTGTGCATCTTTCCTGCAGCAACATCAGGATGTGAGTCGTGGACTATCTCGTTGTAGTTCAGAAGAAAATCAGGGCCTTAAAGCTAAATGCTGTGGAAAGATTTTAAGAATACCATGGACCAAGAATAAAGGAAAAATTGACATCCTAAAAGCTCTGAACATGAATGAAAACTGGCTCATAAACAGCATTTTGTCTCAGAAACTGAAATACTTTGGCCATATCAAGCGCCACAGTGAGTTGGAAAGAACAATAGAGGAAGGTATGGTCCCAGCTAAGGGCAGAGGCCAACCAAGTTGGGCACAGGATAGAGGTGACAGCTTGAGTAGGAAAGTGCAGGAGAGCTGGTGAGGGGCTGAGTTTCTCTGAGGTGGCTGTGATGGGAGCAATGTTTTGTAAAGGACCTGCTACAGGAGGATGGTGTTATTTTCAAGTAATTGTTACTGTAATGCTCCTTTGTGTGACTGTTTTGAAGGACCTGAAAGTGCAGACAATTTTCTTTTCCCTTCAATAGCTCAGCTTTGACAGCTGACCATTGCATGTTCTTTAGCTTTTCAGTTGATGTTTTTTCTTCCTTGTCTTGTTTATCGGCTGTAAACTATGGCCGAATTTTCTGGCTGTTTGTCCACTTCTGGAGTTTAGTCTTTTTCGAGAACTTGAGTTGAGACCTGACTTATTTGTATGCAGACTGTTGGTTTTTTTCTCCCTCTCAGGCAGATACACTCATACTTCAAGGAAACATCCTTAAATAGTCGACTTGTTGGGTGTATGCCTTAAAAACAATTTACACCAAAAAAAAAAAAAACCGCCATAGGTGCTGGTACTGCATACCGATGCGTACCACCAGAAGAAAGGCCCTGCTTACAACCAAAACAGAAATAAAGCAATTCAAGGATCCTTTTCACACGGTTGGCTTATCAAGTATATGATATGGTCAACATCATGCCAGCCGCCAGGACTTTACTTGGTACCTATTTTAGGCTAGGTCGAGCTGGGAGCACAAATAATTATTGAAAAAAAATCTGATGCCAATGTGAATCCAAGACCGTCTTGTCGCGACACCATTGTGGCTTTCTGTTGCATACAGAGTTGAATAATTCTTTACTGAAGCAGGTTAACAACTAAAACAGTTACCTTGATTAACTGGTGCCTGCACAGAATAAAGGGAATTACATGGTATGAGAGAGCTAAATAAATTTAATTAAATCAAGAGGTGAAGAAGAGACGCTAGTGTTGGATTGGATACATGTTGAGAAAGCCTGAGAACAGTATAATTAGAGATTCTTTGCACTGGAACCCACAGTGGCCTAGAAATAAAGTAAAGGACCCTTTTCCACGCCTTAAGACATATTGGGCATATAGGCCTAGCCTCTATTTTGTAGACCAATCGGCACCTGGTGGGTGATAAGGTCAACATCACGCCGGCCGCCTTTACTTCTCAGGACTTATACCTGGTACCCACCCAACGTTAAGATGAACTGCCTAGAAATAAAGGCAGACAATAACAAAAAAAATGTGTGGAGAAGGGAGCTAGAAAATTAAGTTAAAAAGATAGTGAGGACATGGGAGGACATTTATCCTCTGCAAAAGCAGAGGATAAATAACTGGGCGTAGGGTGGTTAGGTGTCTATGCTTCATTGGGGATACAGAGCAGAAGAAAAAGTAGGTTAAAGAATTCCAATATCTAGGAAGTGTGATGACTCAGGGTGGCAGAATAGGCAGGGAAAATATAGCAAAATGCAAATGTGCTTGTTTATCAGTTACCACCATTATTAAAACATAGAAGATAACAGTGTCTGTGTTAGACTTCTATTTTACTTTGGAGCTTTGCCTCATTTCTCCTTTTGTGTGTGTTTTTTTTCTTCCCAGTTCCAGAAGGATCTGAGTCAGAGATGGTGAGTAGAACTCTTGGAACTCTAGCATCTTGTCTTCCCCTTTGGCAGTTCTTCTTATACCACTGATGGTTCCAGTCATCACCACATTCCAGTCTTAAATTCCCCCCACACTGTACCAAATACAATATAATATATCAAGTCAAAACTTATTGCTCCCTGTGTGTATTCCGGGGCCCCATTATAGGGAAAACCAGAATAGACCCACTGCCTACCCAAAAGCATGTCGTAAGAGTTGACTAATTGGGAGCTACCTTAGAAGTTGGAGTGCAACTGCCTGAGAGGCAAGGAACCAGCAGTCTGCATACAAATGAGTTAGATCTGTAAAATGGATGCACACGCATCACTCAGGTTCTGGAACAGGACTGCAGTCCAGAAATGGACGAACAACCAGAACTTTCCGATGGAGTTTACAACTGGTGAACGCGAAGAAGAAGAAGAAAACTTATTGCCAAGAGAAACAGCAGTAGAAGAACTTTACGGGTCGCTGATTGAATTACAGCAGACAGTGAAGGTCATGAGACAGCATATATAGATAATTTATTTCATGCGAACAAAAGAAGAAGAAGTGAAAGTCATATTAAAAACAACATTGTAGATACTCTATTTCAAGTGAACAAAAGAAGAAGAATCACCATGTTCTCCTTTGGCTGATATTTTACCATATCAGTTGATTACAGTTGATTTTTTATTGATAGTTTTTACATGCTAACAGAACTAGACTTATAGTTTTTACATGTGAACAGTACTAGACTTATAGTTTTTACATGTGAACAGTACTAGACTTATAGTTTTTACATGTGAACAGTACTAGACTTATAGTTTTTGCATGTGAACAGTACTAGACTTATAGTTTTTTTTTTAAAGTAGATTTTCAGTAATCTATATCTGCTGGGGAATGCCTTGTAGAAATAGGAACAAGAATCACCATGGCACAAATAGACTTTTACTTCTTTGAAGTCGGAGTGTATCGGTCTGGGTGTGAGAAACCAACAGTCTGCATCTAAATGAGCCAGATCTATAAAACTCATGGGCACACAAAACTCAAGTTTTATTATTGCTTCTTCAGTTTCATCAGTGGAAAGTTCTGGTTGTCTATCCACTTCTGGACTTTGGTCTTGTTCTAAAACTTGGGTTTTACTTGCACATCCATTTGGCAGATCTGGCTTATTTGTAAGTTGGTTCCTGGCTTCTCAGGCGTGAACTTTGAAGGAAACTCCCCCAGTCTACTTTTACAACATGGTTATTAGTGGAGCAGTGGGTCTCTTCTCCCAACACCCCTCCCCCTCCAACCTTTTCGCCCCCAAAATGGGTCCCTGGAACCCACACAGAAATAGAAGTGGATGAACAAGCAAAGTTTTCTGTCAGATTTTACAGCCAAAAAAAAAGGCAAAATAAGTAATAGTAGCCATTTGCAAAGTGGAAAACACTCGCCACAGAAATCAAACTATGGTACATCTACCTCTAAACCTGTGGGACATGACTCTTTGGGGGGGGGGGGGGGGGGGGGGAGGGGGGGGGGTCGATCTACCCTTTCACATGGGTTGCCTGAAACAAAAATAATTCTATGGTTGGAGGTCACCACAGTATCAGGAACTGTATTAAAGGGTTGTAGCATGAGAAAGGTTGAGAGCCACTGCTGTAAACCATAAAGCCATGCAGTGAATTGAAGGAATTTAATGAATCTGTAAATGATGCAGAAAGAACCATTTGTTGCATCCCATATAGTGTTTAGATAAAATACTTTACTTCTTTACTCTTTCTCTCTCTCTCTCTTTCTCTCTCTCTCTCACACACACACACACACCTCCCTCCCTCTCTATCCCCCTCCCTCCCCCTCTCTCTCTCTTTTACCATTCTTCTTCACCTGCCCTTCATCCCCCAATGGAGCATAAGCCCTCCACCAACTCATGCCAAGTTCTATCTTTTGCTATAGAATGCAGCTTACCTTGTTCCCCCCAGGCATTGTAACTTTACTTCACCCTCTTGTTTCCTTCTCTACATGTTTGCTGGTATGCCTTTATTTCTATTCTGTGACCCTGTAGGTTCAGCTATAAAGACTAATTGTTACTCTCATGTTTCCTCAGCTTGTGTCCTATCCAATGTCAGCATCTTTTCGTTACCTCTTAATTCTCTGGATTTTGTTTGGTTCTCTCTCAGACCTCTTATTAGTGATGTTATGTTATGCACAATCAACATCTTTGCACATCGGGCATCCCCATGTGTGCTCAGTCTTCCAGCGAAGCAGCCACTCCAAGGTATCTCTACTGATTG